GGGCAGCGGTGGCCGCGCGGGCAGGGGGCACGGGGCGCCGCGGGACCCGGGGGCTCCAGACTCGCCTAGATTCTGGCGTTGGAGGACCTGTGGCTCAGGGGTGGGGTGACAAGATTCCTTTGAACTTTGAGGGTGGTTGATGCCTGTCAATTCAGTTTGGCGGCCCGACTCTTTTAAATGTGAGTCAGTAGTGCCTTGTTCGTGGACTGGCTGCTCTGGTGCTCCGGTCAGGCGGTTTTGCAGCTTGCTCCTTAATGTTTACCAGTTTTCTAATCCTAACAACTACCCTCACTTGTCAATTCATCGTGGTGGTGAGGACAGTATGACAGCTTAGGTTTGACTCTCGAGTTGGCTGTGCTAACCCCAGTGAGTTAAGCTCTAAGGGCTTGTTTTCTACCTCTTTCATGTGTGTACCTGTCTTCCCATGTTTGTGGTGTGAGATCTTTTTTATCAAGGACCTGGAACACAGTGACTCGAATGAATATTTTTCAATGAACTTTAGTTGCACTGTTTCTTTATCTTACTCCTTTTCACTAGGGTCACTTGGTGAGGATCTTTGTTTACAGGACGCTAGATATTAGATAGATTTCTCTGGAAGTTATGAACCTTTTTGTGTTTGTGTGGTGCTGATTTATCTAGGGCCTGAAAAATCCTCAGCCCAGTGAACCTTTATTTTAATTAAAATATAACTATATGCTGGATAGTGGTGGCGCACGCCTTTGATTCCATCACTTGGGAGGCAGAGGCAGGCGGATCTCTAAGGGTTTTTTGTTTTGTTTTCCCCGAGACAGTGTTTCACTGTAGCTTTGGATCCTGTCCTGGAACTGCGTCTTGTAGAATAGGCTGGCCTCGAACTCAGAGAGATCCTCCTACCTTTGCCTCCCGAGTGCTGGGATTAAATGTGTGTGCCACCACCAACTGGCCAAATCTCTGTAAGTTCGAAACCAGCCTGGTCTACAAATTTTGAGACAAAGTTTCAATGTGTAGCTCTGACTGCTGTTCTGGAACTCACTGTGTAGACCAGGCTGGCCTTGAAAACTCAGAGATCTGCCTGCCTCTGTAACTCTTAGGATTAAAGTTTTGTGTCCCTATGTCCAGCTTATTTTTCTTTTTAAAGCAAGAGCTTAACTGATATGGAACTTGAAATCCTCCTACTTCAAACACAGTTTGTATTAGAGAACATTCCAGGACCCTGATATGGAAATGTCACCAGACCCCGAATCTATAATTCCCTTTAGGTGCAGGGCATGTCTGCTCAAAGAAACTAGCATTTTCCAAATTCAGAGTAACAGTTTAAGAGCAAGGAGGTAGTGGTTATTATTAGGAGGTTTTAAGATAGGTCATATTTGTAAAATTTTTTGTTTTTTGCATTTATATGTATGGGCAAAAGATCAAAAATTTCGAAAGGTTTCCATATATTGATATTTTATTTGACTTTTATTTTAATAAATAAAGCTTGCCTAAAGTTCAGAGAGTAAAACAGCCACACTGGTCAGCCTTACAGGCCAGGCAGCGGTGACACACACCTCCAATCTCAGTAGTCACACTAGTTTACCATAGAAACCAGTTGGTAGTGACGCACACCTTTAATTCCAGCACCAGAGAGAATTATCAGACAGGAGGAGACAGCTCTCAGACAAAGTCTCATTCTGAGATTCCTGGAGGCAAGACCACAATTTCAGACTGATGTGGAGGTAAAAACCAGTGGGTATTTTGCTTTTCTGACCTTCAGGTTGAACCCCAATTTCTGTCTCTGATTTTTATTAAATGTGCTACATTTCCAGGTGTCAGGTTACATTTCTATGTTTTTTGTTTTTGTTTGCATAAAGGAACTTGTTTCTGCTTTTCTTTTTTCTTTATTTTTTTGACAATTTTATACATATATATAATGTGATATATGTATATATATATGTATACATAATTGTGATATATTCACCTTTTGTTACTATTTTAAGGATTTATTTATTTATTTTATTTTTCTGTATCTGGATATTTTGCTTGTATGTGTGTGTCTAGTGTGTGCAGAGCCCAGAAAAGGGTATTGGATTTCCTGAAACTAACTACAAAGGCTACCTCCATACAAACACCTGTGCCCTGGCCAGAGGAAAGAACTTTTTATAAGACATCAACATCAGGACCAAGTTATTGAAAACCTGTAGGGATATTGAATATTGAAGAGTCAACAATGTACTTTGGGCTGGAGAGATGACTTTAGAGCTACTCTTCCAGAGGACCAACTTTGATACCCAGTATCCATGTTGCAGAGCACAGTTGTGAGCAGCTATGTGGGTACTAGGAACCAACTTTGGTTCCTCTAAAAGAACAGCAGGGTACTCTTAATTATTGAGCCATCTCTTCAGCCTCTTAACCCACTGATTTCGAAGGTTGTTCATATGAACTTGTAGAGAGAATTCCTCCACCCACCATACCTTTTTAAACTTTAATTTGTTTTAAGACAGGATCTCATGAAGCCTAGGTTAGTCTTAAATTTGGTATGTAGAGGCAAATGATCTAGAATTCCTGATTTCCTGCCTCTACCTCCCAGTTATTGGTATAATAAACATGGTCTACCATACCCAAATGGAAAACTCTCCTGTTGTTGTTTGTTTGTTTTGAAGCAATGCTAGGGATTAAACCCAGGTCCTTGAGTGTACTAGGCAAGCACTCTACCACTGAGCTACATTTTTTTCCTTTTTGATTTTTTTTT